ATAATAACTTGTTCTATCCCAATGACTTTTAAAAATCTTGGGTCTTTATTATAAACTAAAAAATGTTTGTAGACTGAATGATTGTCATAGCCTCTTTTGATGTTACGACAATGTTCAGCTAATCTAATTTTTAGGCATCTTGTCGTCATGCCTATATATTGGAGTCCACATGGACATTCTAATAAATACTTAACATTCTTAGTGTTGCACCCAATAAAATCTTTGATTGGATATGAAACCTTTGTAGTAGAAAAATGAGTAGTTTTAGTGTTAATGGCTGGGTTTGTAGATTTACATACAATACATTTATTACATTTAAAAAAACCTTTTGGTTTAGGCATAAAATTCTCTCTTTGTGGGATGGTTGTTTTAGTGTAATTTTTTGTAAGAATTGTTTTAAAATTTGGGGCCCCTCTGAATATTATGTTAGGCCTATCTGGAATGTAGTCTTTTAAAAGATCATCTTGTTTTAAAATATGCCAGTGCTTATTAATAATTTTTTTTAAACTTTTGTTTTTACTGCTAAAATAATAGGTAATTTTGGAGGATCTTCTTTTTTAGCTTTATATACCAGGAGGTCCTTTCTCTCCTTTAGTTTTACTTCCTCTAAGGCTACATTTAATTTGTCAGGTTCATAATTTTTTCTAAAAACTTATTGTTTAATGAGGTAGATTGAGCGTCAAAGTCTTTTGTTAAACAACAATTACGGTGGAGGCGAAGAAATTGACTTTTTGGAATGCCATCCAACCAAGGTTTATAATGACAGCTTGTGTGGTCAATTATAGTGTTAGTACATACTTCTTTAAAAAAAGTCTTTGTTTGAATATTACCATCTTGGATAAAAATATTGTGATCTAAAAAATTAATGGATACATTACTATAATCTGAAGATAAAACTATACCTTTGTTATTGTCATTTAAATATTCTAAAAACAATTTAAGAGAAGTTTCTGGGCCCTGCCAGATGAAGAATAAATCGTCTATATAATGAAAGTAGGAAACCAGGTTTGCCCGCCAGGCACGATCTCCCCAAATGGCCGAAGATTCCCAATCGGCCATAAAGAGGTTTGCATAGCTGGGGGCAAACCTGGTTCCCATAGCAGTGCCTTTTTTTGGATGTAGAATGATTCAGAAAACCAAAAATAATTATTGTTTAAAATTATTTTAATCCCCTCTATTATAAAATTTATTTGGGATTCTGAAATAGAGCTTTGTTGTTTTAAAAATTTTTCTACTGCCTTACATCCTAAAATGTGAGGAATTATGGTGTACAGCGATTGTACATCACAAGTAACTAGGATATAGTCCTGGCGCCAATTAAAATCTCTTAAAAAAGATAAAAGAGTCATAGAGTCTTTGAGGTACGGTCTAATTTTTTTAACCAAAGGCTGTAGTAAAATATCAATATACTCCGAAAGGTTGGATAAAACGGAATTAATACCCGACACAATGGGTCTTCCGGGGGGTTCTTTTACATTTTTGTGGATTTTTGGAAGAAAATAAATAACTGGAATTTTTGGGTAGGTAATAGTTAAATACATAAATTCTTGTTTATTCAAAATGTTCATATTTAACCCCTCTGTTAGATAATCACTTAAGATTGCCTTAATCTTAGAAGTTGGATCACATGATAATTTTTCATATACTTCAGAGTCGTTTAGTTGACGATTCGCTTTTTTAAAATACATTGATTTAGATAAAATGACTAAGCCTCCACCTTTATCAGTTGGTTTAATCACGATTTCATCATCATTCTGAAGTTCTTTTATAGCCTTACGTTCATTTTGTGTCAAATTCTGATGATTATATTTATTATGTTTAATTTTTTTCAAAATCATTTAAAACAAGTTTCTCAAAGACTTCTATGGGTCCTAATTTAAAATTTGAGGGATAAAACTTTGAAGGGTTTTTTAGATCTGTATGAGTAATAAGACGTTCAGTTGGATTATCGGAGGTCTGATATTGGGGTGTTGGGACAGTTGTTGTGGGGGTGATTGAATTCTGAGTAAAAAATCTCTTAATTGTAGCTTTTTTTACAAACTCATTAATATCCAGAAAAGCTTGAAAAGGTTTGAAAGGATTTGTGGGAGCATATTTCAAGCCTTTGCTTAAAACTAAAATTTGTGTGGATGTTAAAACTTTCTGAGAAAGATTAAAAATTCCAAGTTCCTTTTCATCAATATTTGTTATAATCTCTCTTTTCTTTCTCTTTTGTATTCTTCCACCACCTCTCCTTCCTCTACGCTCAGGCTTCGTTTTCTTGCTCTGGGCAAATATGGAGTTTGTGTATGAGGTAGATTTTGTGTGCGGATGTCTAAAAAATTATCTTCAATTTCTGAGTCGATTGATAATAATTGGTATCTATTATTGTGCGTATAATTGGGTGGTGATTTAGGAAGATCAGAGTGTTTGTGTCCGAATCTAGACCTTTGAGGTCTAGGTGTTAAAGATTGTGCGTAACTAGATTTTTTCGTGGTTGTGTAGTGAGGAAAATTCTGATAGTCTGGTGAATTGTGATAATTGCTGGTTTTGTGAATGGGTTTCTTATAAATATGTGATGGTCTTTGTTTATTAAACGGAGAGTTTTTTCTCTCATAGTTTTTTTGGTGTTTTGCAAAGGAACCATATTTTTTTTTGAGGATAGTAACTAACTTGACGGTGACGATATGGTGAAGGTGAAGTAGGATAGTGTCTTGGTTTATTATAACAATAAGGATTGGGATTGTGTTCATAATCTTGATCTCTGTTTCTTGTTGTAAATGCATCACTAGTGTATTTCTTATGTTGGTTATATGTTCTCACTTGATTATTGTTATAATCCTGTTTGTCTCTTATATATTTTTTTATCTTAATATGTTTAGTATCAGTTTCCACCTTTTCGATTTTACTCTGTATTAAAATTGAGTTTTGTTTATAAGCATGAGTTTCTGTAAAAGGTAGTAAGTTGTCTTTGAGTTTATTGATCTCAGTGTCTAAAATGGAAAGTTTTTTGCTTTTCTTTATGATTAAAGTCTCCATGAGGCCAAAAGTACATATCTCAAGTTTATTTATCCAGTCATTCATAAATTCCTCGTCATCCTGAACTGAAGTAGGTAATTTATACAGCCTCAGGCCTCTAGTAGTAATTTTCTCATCAATATACTTTTTTAAAGTCGCTATTTGCCATTTTAGTTTTATTTCGGAAGTCAAAGCTTTTTCTAATTGTCTAAATAAATCTAGTTGATTCTGAGTTGAATGGTCATTATAAATTAGATCACTGTTATTCGTATCAAAAACGTGGTTGATATCGATATTGTAGTTTCTCCTATAATCAAAGATAGACATGGCTTCTATAGAAAATCTGTTTGATTGTGTGTATAGGCCTGTGATCGTATGTGCGTGGGTCTGTGATTGTGTGTGTATTTGTGTGTGTGTATGTATGTGACTGTGTGTATTGGTCTGTGATTATATGTGTGTGTGTGTCGGTCTGTGATTGTGTGTGTGTATATTTGTAATTGTGTGTATAGGTCTGTGATTGCATGCATGTGTGTCTGTGATTATATGTGAGTAGGTCTGTGATTGCATGTGTGTGTCTCTGTGATTATGAATGCATAGGTCTGTGATTGTGTGTGTGTGTGTGTGTGTGTGTGTATATGTGTTGTTATGTTTGTATATATATATATATATATATATATATGTATATTTCTATATGTGTGTGTGTATGTGTTTAGTAGATAGCTCATTAAGTTGGTATCCTTAAATATGGCAATCCCACATAAGTACAACAAATAAGAGAATTATATTATATTTTATGTGCGGCCCAAGACAATTCCTCTGCGCTCAAGGTAAGCCAAAAGGTTGGAAACACATGCTCTAGAGCATGGATAGGCAACCTTCAGCACTCCAGATGTTGTGAAAATACATCCCCCATAATGCTCTTACACCAATAATACTGGCAATGTATCATGGGAGGTGTAGTCCAAAACATCTGGAGTGCTGAAAGTTGCCTATGCCTGCTCTAGAGTCTAGACCAGGCATAGGCAACCTTCGGCACTGCAGATGTGTTGGACTACACCTCCCATGCTTTGCCAGCATTATGGGTGTAAGAGCATTATGGGGAATGGAGTCCACAACATCTTGGGGTGCCGAAGGTTGCCTATCCCTGGTCTAGACCAATATCTTTGCTCTAGATCAAAAGACTCTTCTTTACCATTTCCTAGAAACTAACCTCAGGTCTGTAACCTATCCTAAGTTGGGAATGAGTTCCTACAAACAATATCTATGAAAATATTAATGTGTATTCTGTTTTTGGTTTTTATTTTTTTGCATTTATATTATTTTATAATTTCAACAAATCCTTAATGCCAGAACATACTAAAACATCTGTTTCCCTGTCAGAGAAGAATTTAAGGATTAGCTAAAAGAATATTTGGGTAATTTCAGAGGAATTAGCAATTCATCAGCCTACTTAGAACATAATTAGCAAAAAGATTTTCAACGCACGCATGGCCGCCAAGATCTGTACTATATATTGAACTTGAAAGCGAAAAACTATTTAGTCCTCTATAAATATATCATACTTTTTTCTTTAATCAGTGCTTTTTCTTTTTTCTCATTTACAAACTAAAAATATTACTAGACTTAACTATTAATATGCCATGTTTCCTCTACTACACGTTTTTGTATACAGGTAGTTCCCGACTTAGTAGTTAATATAGTGAGAGTTCATAAAGTGAGAACTCATTTCCCATAGACCGCAATGTAATAAGCATAGGTTCCATTCCTGACCAAGAAAAATTAACTATAGAAAACCTAAATTATTAAGTAGAAATACAAAATATAGGCATAACAAATACATATATGTTGTAGGAACATTAAAGAAATACATACCATATTGAATTCTTCATCAAATCATCCTCAATCATCATCATCCTCAATGAACAGACATGTTGCACTTGATGAATGGGGCACCGCACAGTCCTCCCTCAGTTGTTTGGTACTTGTTGAAGGCTGCACCTCACTTGTTTCTGGTTTTTTTGAGACAGAGCTCATCACAGCAGCTTTCTGTAGACAAGCTGTGATAGTGGTTTGCTTCCAACACATTCTTTTCTTTTCGTTGTAAATTTCCTCATTGCAGGCATAGGCATTTCTTAGATCTCTAGCAACTTTGGTACTTCTCTCAAAGTTAGAATCTTGTGACTCAAAAATATTAATTGCCTTTTCCATGGGTTGAAATGCTTCCTCGAGGCCTTTAAAAGTGAAAGAATGAACAGGAGTTTCAGGTGCTGTAACATCTTCTACCTCTTCAAGTTCCTCTTGTTCTTCCATATCTAAGAGGTCTTCATTTGTAAGTTCTTCCTTGTGCGCTTCAAGAAGGTCATTTATCTCAGTTTCAGAGACATCCAGGTCCAATCTGTTGGCAAGAGTAACTATTGCTTCTGTGTTCTGCTGTACAATTTCCGCTGGTTCTTCAAACCCTTCAACATTAGTACCAAACAACTGAGGGCAGAGCTTTTTCCAAACGCCTTTCATGGTTGTCTCTGAAATTTTGTTCCAGGCATTTGCTGTAATTTTTATTGCATCTAAAATATTAAATGATTTTCTCCAAAAATCTTTAAGACTTGGACCTGTCTCGTTATCTGTTGCTTTAATCAACATTTCAAATGTCTGCCGAAGGTACAGTGCTTTAAATGTGGCAATAACTCCTTGGTCTATTGGTTGCAAAATGGAAGTTGTATTTGGTGGCAAGAGTAGGATTTTGACATTAGGGTGGTGATGTTGAAGAGAGGGTGGATGACCGGGTGCATTATCTACAAGCAGAATTACTTGAAAAGGTATTGATTTATCTTCACAATATTTTTTCACTTCAGGTACAAAATAATGTGAGGACCAATCTTCAAACAGCAAAGCAGTAACCCACCCTTTTTTATTGGCTTTCCATATGACTGGCAGTGTGCTTTTCACAATTCCTTTACGTGCCCTAGGGTTTCCTGCACGATGCACCATCATGGGTTTTAACTTACAGTCTCCAGCTGCATTCCCACCAAGGAATAAAGTTAGTCGCTCTTTCGCGGGTTTAAAACCAGGCATTGACGATTCTTCTTTTGCAATATAGCTTCTTGGTGGCATGCGCTTCCAAAAGAGACCAGTTTCATCCGCATTGAAAACCTGTGATGGCAAGTAATTTCCCTCTTCCAATATTTCTGCCAACTTAGCAGGAAATAATTTAGCCGCTTCTGTATCGGCACTTGCTGATTCTCCAAGGATTTTTATGTTATACCAACCAGCTCTTTTTTTGTACCGGTCAAACCACCCACTGCTTGCAGAAAATGTTTCTCCAACGTTGCCTCCTTTTCTTTGTTTCAGCATCTCAAAAGGTGATAAAGCTTTAGCACAAATGGTAGCATAGGTAACAGGCATATGGAGCCGTCCAGATTGATCACTTATCCATGCTGTTAAAAGTTTTTCCATATGAGGAATAAGGCTTTCATTTTCCTTGGTTCGCATCCAAGTAGAATGCAGGGATTGCGCATTTTTTGATTCCTTTAAATATTTTTCTCGGTCTTTCAAAATTGTACTCACAGTTGATTTACTTGTGAATATTTAGTAGCTAATTCTTTAGTGGTATTTCCAGCATCATGGTCTGTTATGATGTTCACTTTTGTTTCTAATGTTATGGCTTTTTGTCTTTTGATATTTTCATTACAAGCACCAACTGTAACCTCCTTTCTTTTTGGTGGCATTATGAGTCCTCCTTCATCACATTCTTCTTTCTCAACGCCCCTCTCTTCTTTATCAGTTTCCTTTTCCTTCTTTAATTTCACACCTCTCTTAAGCCTTCCTCCTTCTTCTTTCGCAACGTCCCTCTCTCCTTTATCACTTTCCTTTTCCTTCTTTTTTTTCACACCTCCTCTCTTTCTTTCAGGCTTGCACCTCTCCTTTATCCCTTTTTTTCCTCCTTTAATTTTTAGAGCTTCCAATCTCTACTCCTTTTATTTTTTAGCGCCCCTTTTCTTTTCTTTTTTTTTTTTTTTAACAGTATTTTTAGAGCCTTTAACCTCTACTCCTTCTCCCCTTTCTTCAGGCTCTTCAGCCCTCCTCCTGCTCCTTGCTATGCTACATGCCAAAATATGGCACAATGTCACACACACACTTCATATGGATAAACAGCTAAAATTACAGATTTACATTTCACAACTTTTATTTGTCTGTCTACAGGAAGGGGGTGGGGGGGAAATTGGGAAAATTTAAGAAGTACCAAGTACACTCACATCAATCTCAGGCAAACACACACACACAAACAAACACGTTTTTTACTTTACCTTTCACTCCTGTTCACTCTCCTAAGCACACTCACATCAATCTCAGGCACACACACAAAAACCATACAATTAGAAAAAGCATACAGGTACATTAAAATGAAATAAAGTAGATATATTATGTATTTGTCATTGCACAAACAAAAACCAAAACCATAAATGTTCGTTTTCAAAGCAGCATTATTCCAGATCTGTACCTTTACAGTTTTTTCATAAACTCTACCAAAATTCTATGCAGGTGTTAATTAATACAATTATAGTACAGTACATCACATACTATCACTCATGTACTGTACACTGTGCCATCCATTCAGTAAATTTTCCAGATTCTGTTACATCCTGTTCTAAACAGAAAAATACTTAAATTGGATATAAAGACTAAGTTTATTATACAAATTTTAAACTTACCTTTCACTCCTATTCACTCTCTTGGCCTCAAATTCCTTTTCCAGTGCCTCCAAACATGCTCCGCGGTCCGCATCCACGGATCGCCGAAACAAAATGGCGGCAAAATAAAATGGCGATCGCATCCGAAAAACGTTCGTAAAGGCGGGAAAACGTAAAGCGGGAGTTCGGAAACTGGGAAATGCCTGTGTGACAGATCCATCTGTATAGACTAAGATTGCTGGATTCGTCTGTTTTGCCCTTTTCACGAAATTACCCGTTCGTATGCCCCTGTTCCGTGAATTGACTTTTCCGCCGAACAAAACTACCGAACAGACGGACACCCAGAAGAGAAGTGTGCTGCTGGTTAACCTATTGATCCCAATTAGAACGTTGCGGTTAACCACAGACACTTCTCAATTAAAACCGAATACAGGGTGGTCGTCGTTCGTATGTCGACCACGAGGTGGCGGCCATTTTAAACCATGCGAAAGACCAGCGGTGTTCGGCATTAATTTCATGGAACTGAAAACGGACACTCTTTCAGCCGAACACTGCTGAAGCTGCCGACCTCCTTCTCAATCGACAGAAGTGGGCGAACACTGGCCGTTCGGGAGGTTTAAATGCACGAATGGACTTACCCCAGATAGCCTTCCCATGGAGTCAATCGCATACCGAAGAACTGTAATAGGCTTTGACTCCATGGCGATTGAACTATGCGTATGGGATCTGAGTGCTATTCGCCAATAATATGCACTCAGATCCAGGCTATCTGGGGATATGTGATACGAATGGGTAGCATTCGACAAATGTAAAGTTTATATTTTTATGTGTTTTCTGTGTTGAATTTAAAATGGCGATTTGCCTCTGTCCTGGAGATAATTGAATTACTTCTCAATTATCTCCAGGGCAGAGGGGAGGAATTACTAATGCATGCTGGGAATATTTTGTGTCTGTGGGTCCTGCACTGCCATATGTCTGTCCACCAAGTGGGAGACCTGCATAAATACGGGCAGGTAGCCCACAGTAAAGCCAGTTCTTGTTTTACCCTCAATGCGGAGCTTGGTCTCGTTATTGGGGGGATTTATTA